CCCCCCCCCCTTTTGCAGTCGCGTGGTTGGGCCGCACGTTGTCCTGCCAGTACATATCATAGTAGCCAGAGTATAAATTTTCACTGACACTTTGTTTGCTGATGTTAAACTGCTGGACGCCGGATCGAAACGGGCGAAAAGAGATTATAAATTGATGGCATATGGGTCGTGTGGCCTTCAAGGCAGCAGCGCGGACGCTGGGGATGGCGCATGGCGCCTGCGACGCGAGGGATAGGCCATCCCGTCAAGCAGCTGTGTGCAGCCGGCGGCCCGCCCCATGAGTCAATTCGAGGAACATTTGCTCTGGGCAGGCCTCCGTAACTTAGAGTACGAACAAGCGTAGTAAATGAAGTGGTCAGCCGGCTCAAATGCAAGGTTTCATAAAAAAAATCGCCATAAATAAAGTACACATTGCGGCAAATTCCAGTTTTGGTATTTCATTAAAGATAGAATGAGATACATTTCGGCACGTGTTTCGCTGGGATCCAGGATGGTTGGCTACCTTGGCCTTGAACTGGAGCAGCGACGTGCCCTCATGGCGGTCATAATTACGTCCAAAACCGTGAACTTGCAGAGTCCAAAAGATAAATAAAACATACTGCATATATTTCAAGCATGTATCCTTAGTCGAAACTAGGATTATTGCGGTATCTCAACTGGAATTATTACATAAAATTACATTACAGAAAAAAATAGAATACTGTAGTGCATTTCAAACAATGATTCTGCCACAACAATAATAATAAAAATATATTGAGAAAGCTAAGCAGCAAAACTTATTAAAATCAATTTCACACATTTCACTTCTTCTTATGTTTTAAAACTTGATGGCAAATGTAATCGCCACTAGTTTCAAATGTTTCATTGCACAGTACACAATGATGTTTCTTCCGCTCTGGTGCTATTATAGGTTCAGTTACACCTGCTCTATGTTTAAGAGCATTGTGGCATATTAAACCACCTTTAGAAGTAAAATTTTCATTACATATTTTGCAATGATGTGATGGTCCTTTTTTCGGCTGATGAACTTCCATGTGTTCTCTTAAAGCTCGAGTTCCTTTGAACATAATAAGACAAATGACGCATTTCCTCTCCTTGTCATCATCCTCTGGTGCGTTCTTGTCTTTGCCATCTTTATCTTTGGGACCTTTACAATTTTTAACATGGTCATCATAAGAGACCCAATGTTTATAAACCATTTTACAATGAGGGCATTGACGTTTCAGTGCCTCCTCCTTTTCTTGCTTAGCAGATTGAAGCTGGAATGAAAATAAAAGGTGAGCTCATTCGAGGGACAAAGCTATCCATGAAGAATGTACATTCAGGAAAAATACTCACGAGCACAGACAAATCTGCCTTTTTGATAATTTTCTTCTTGTTAATTTCTGGTTCTTCCTCATCAGAAGAAGATGAAGAGGATGAAGTGGGAGATTTAGATCTGGTCTGTGCAGTTTTAAATTCTGGGTCATCTGGATCATCGCCACCGTTGAAGTCTCCATCATCATCACTGCTGTCTACAATTTTTCTACGAGGGCATGTCCCTGTACTACTTCGAGTAAGGCTGAAATAAATTAAAAATTAGTGATAACCCTCCTAGATTTTAAATTATTCCTGAAACCGCCTGAACCTAGACGTTCAAAAACACTTACCGTTTTGGCTGGTTCTCAGGAGTTTTGGGTGTCTCACCACTTCGGAGAGCCCGTCCCCTTTTGCTTGTCCCACCACGAACACTTCCTCCTCTTCGCTTGCGACCTCTACCCCCACGCGTCGACACGTTTTTGCTAAAGGAAGAGGAAGAGTCATCATCTAATGATTTCCTCTTCTCCTCATCAGAGGAAGTGTCATCTTTTTTCTTCTCAGAAGAATTCCCCTCTTCAGATGACTTTTTCTTCTCCTCAGGATTCTCCCCTCCCGAGGAACTTTTGTTCTGTTTCATGGTCTCTTCAGATTTCCTGCTGTCCTCACCTGACGAGTCTGATTCTGTTACTACCTGATTAATTAAATCATCAATAGACTTATCTAAGTCTTCCTCAGGATTCTCTTCTTTGACAGATCTTACTAGGGGATTTATTGGAGACTTCAGTACTTCTTTTTTAATTTCAATGCCTATGTCGTTTTCAATATCCACTTTTTCGCTTTTTATTTTTATCTTCCCAAGAGGACTTACAGAAGATGGAAGGGAAGCAGACAGATCATCAATAAGAATGGGATTGCCAAAGGGCACCCAAAGAAACGGATCAACTGCATCAGTTAACTTGGAAGTTGATGAGACATCAGACTCAGACTCCACAGGCTCAGATTTAATCTTCACTAACCCTCCAATCTAAAAAGCAAAATTAAAGTTGAAAACACATGTTGTGACGGCAGATTACTGTTAAAAGAAAACACATTCTCACCTGCTTTGCTTCAATTTCACGGCACTTTCTCTTGAATAGATAGAATTCATTTACCTTCGTCTTACAGAATGAACAAAGAGTTTTCCTCACATCAGAAACTGAAACCTGAAAATACAAATGCATTAATAGAAATCCAGATTAGAATAAAACAATGGTTAATATCGAAAGTAGAGAAGGCATTTCTAACAGTTATGTTTAAGGAGAAGCTGATTTTTTCAGGAAGTTGTTCAAAATTTTCCTCATCAAAAATCTTGATGTTGTCACTTCTGCTTAGGCAAAGTCGACACAACTCCTGTCGACTCATATCTCAGATCTGCAACAAACAAAAGTCACAACCCAGTGAATTAGGATAGTGGATTAGAGAGTAGTAGTGAAAGCGCTGATCTAGAGAAACTGAAAGTCCCGGTAACCAAATGAAAACATATGTCAATGCTGACCCGATACAACATAAACAATCACAGCTACGCTCTCTAACCTTAAATCCCGCTAAAAAGTGGAATAGTGCGCCAATTAAATGAAATAAAGGCATGTGAGCATCAAGGTTCAGAAAAGTGCAGCAATGCAGATAGAATTGAGCGCGAAAAGCGTGGTGCAGGTGGTATTTTTCATCGGATCAAGAAACGTAAACACAGCACGATAACAAAATTCTCACATGCACATTAACCATGACAAATGCACTAAGTCGATAGTTTCAATGCAGACAAATGATGTTTGAAAAGAGCGAGTTCAAATTACCTTTTTTCCGAAACTTTATTCCACGGCACTAACGGTACCTGACCTATTCAAACCTGTTGTTGCCTGATGGTGGCCGATCGTCTTTTGTGAGAGCACATGGAAAATCAAAGCGCATGCGCCCACCAGCGCCATGACACCCGTACCGTCTCTCATTTGTTTTGTTGTGGAGGTTGTGGAACGGGGAACGGGGAACGGCTGCATGATGTTGACAGCCCAGATCTTGAAGTAATGCATTAGTTGAAGTTGTTTATTTAGCGGTATTATTTGGTCGCAATCTTGAGAAAACAACGCTCAATATTATTTCCCCAACAAGCAACTTACTTCAAATCTTTTCGAAATGGTCCACCATCTAATAAAACGAGTGTTTCATTGGGGGCCTCTGGCCGCACTATGTAAGTAAATGCTATACAATCATAATGTTGTCATTGATAATTGTTGAAGATTAATCTCGAAGTCCTGTAACTTTAACTTGATTTTCTTTTTAGGCATCATCAAATGCATTACATTTATGACAATGCACTGCTGTAGTATGTGGTGGCCTGCTTCCCAGTCCTGGGGTGGAACTGTCAATAGTGGAGTATTTCTGAGCTGCAGCCTTCTCACCATTTATAATTTCCTCAGTGCCATGATGGAAGGGCCAGGCTTCCTCCCCTACAAGTGGCGGCCCAAAGTTGAAGATGATGAGCAGTTTTTACAATACTGTGAATCATGTCAGGGTTTCAAGGCTCCCAGAGCGCATCACTGTAGAAAGTGTAGGCGTTGTGTAGCTAAAATGGACCACCATTGTCCGTGGATCAATTGCTGTGTGGGTCATGTAAATCATGGCCATTTTACAGCATTTCTATTTTGGGCAGTTGTTGGATGTTTCCAGTCAACCATAATTTTAAGTTGTTCATTGTATCGTGGCATTAATCGAGTCTGGTATATGTACTACGGCACAGGTAAAGAGCCTCGAGTTTATCTTAGTGCTAATACTTTATTTTTTTGTATTTTTGCCCTAGGGCTCTCTGTGGGAGTTGTTTTAGCTGTTGGAATGCTACTCTATTTTCAAGTTCGGGCTATTCTTCGAAATCAGACAGGTGTCGAGGATTGGATTGTAGAGAAAGCTCATTACCGTCGTCTGGATTCCCAGGACAAGTTTGTGTTTCCTTATGATTTGGGATGGAAGAAAAACTGGAGTCAAGTAATAAATTGGTCTTTTGAGCCAGTTGGTGATGGTATAATATGGCATGTTCGAGATGGATGTGATCAATTTACCCTCACTAAAGAGCAGCAGGCCCAGAAAAGGGAGAAAAGAGACCGCACAAGGCTGTACACAGTCATTCATCGGTATTCTGGTTGGCATCTTCCTTTTGTTAATGGGTGGGGAGCTTTATGCCATGTACCATGTACAGACGAAGTGCGTATCAAATTGAATGTTGGTGATAATGTAATGGTTACTAGATGGAGAAAGTATTGGCTTTTTGGTGAGAAGCACGGCTCAGAAAAGAAACTCAGAGGCTGGTTCCCAAGGTCTTGTGTGATAGAGGTTGATGGTAGTGAAGACTGGAAATCCAAGCAAAGTTAATCAATAGTTTAGACAACTATTTTTTTCTTTCACTGATAGCCTAGTGAACAATGATTGTAATCTGTGATCAACTGATACTCTTGTTTGTTTGCCTTCCTACACAAGGTATGGAATGGGAAAATATTAATAGGGTAATAAATACATTCAGAAAACAACATTAAAATTTGACCTGCATTGTTTTGACATTTAGGGGTACTGCTTTTAAATGTGTTCCTTTCAGTTAAAAGGTAAAAAATAATATTCTCTAGTGTTGAAGTAAGACATGGTAAAAATATATTCTGTATTAAAGTACTTACCCGAAGAAAAAGAAAATGGATTTCTAGAAATCTGACAAGAAATCGGCGTGAGTTATCGTGTTCTTCCGTTTCATTCTTTCATGTTCTGGCCTTGTTTATTTATTTCTAGTCAAAAAATAATAATTTAAAAAGTACATCTGCTGAGTGAAGCACGTTACTCTATTGTGAGGTGTATTTTCTAACAGATCTCTTAAGTTGCATTTAATTGGTTTTATTGCCTTAACTCAGCTTGTTCTAGTGTGTTTTGGAATCATTTAAAATAATTATAAGCCCACTCGCTTTGTAAGTGAAGTGAAATTGTTAGGAGTCAATTTTCTGTACATTTATCTTTTTATTTTGAAGCCAGGATAATTTTGTTTTATAGAATTTTGCCTTCATGGGAAGTTGTCAATTAGATTCTAAAATCCATGAGCTATATTATATTGTCTTAAAGCATCAGTTGTTGTCTCACTGAACTTGTTCTCTTAAACCCCTTCCTAATAACAATAATCAAGCCAAATGCTTTATCTCTAAGAACTTTTATTTCTAGAAACATAAATTTTCAGCGTTTTATGGAACATTTTAAACTATGTCCTCTTCTTGAAACATTAACTTCTGAAGTATTGGAATGTGTCTTGTTTCTTGTTATCTGTGGCAAAGACTAGAAATGATGAAAACTTAAAGCTAGCATTTTAAATATTATCTATAACCTTGATATAATTGAGAACTATCACAAAAAAGGAAAAAGAAAGCATCACAATTTGCAATAAATGCTCTTATAATACACATCTTCATTAATCTTTAACCATATCACGGCTGCTATACTTGATAAACTGATTAACAAGCTAATAAATTAAAGTGGTAACTTTGATAAACTGAACATCAATGTTGCAAAGCATATCCATTAGAGTGTTAAGTGCTACAATTTTGGGGCGAAAGATGAAAACAGGCTGACGAAGAAGGAAGAATTACGTGAGGGGCCATTGCCTTGAAGATCCTGGATGCTGGCATCCTGACTTTGCACGGACAAAATTAGATGGGCGATCAGAACCATAAGATAGATAGACATTGGAGATATCGGGCTGCATAGGCTGTCAACACAAGTGATGAAATCATTAAGTAAACTGGTAAAGAAAATGAGTAACAGAAAATATAGGAAAAAAAGACACTATCCCAGTTCTGCCATCTTTTCTAACACTGACCCGAGGGAATAATATAGAAGACGAGATAGACGTTTCGGTAAGGAAAGAATTGAGAATTACTGTAATTAATAATAGGCCGACCAATACTTTGAGTATTGCTCTGATACTTTGAGTATTGGTCTTAATGAATTTATAGTATTGTCGGTTATATTGTCTTTATTAGTGTTTTGTTTCAAAAGAATACCAGAAATTCTGACCGGGAGGCTGCACCCAGACTTGCTGTGTAGCTGATGTCTTTTTGCAGAGACTAAGATAGGTTAAAAATAAATTTGAAATGGAATTTCTCACCTCTCGGCTAATAGTTTGACTGTTTAGTGCTAGCTGCTTCCTCATATTATTTCCAGTATAGGCTACACATTTCAGCTGCCACTCTCCTATGTCCTCATTCCAATGGGAATATCTTTCAATCATATCCTGAAGGAACACAAACTGATATAAGTGGTCCATTGGGTTGATGAAAGCAATTGTTAAGAAAAATTTCTGCTTTTTATAAAGAGTTAAAATAAGTTACTGAAAAAACTAAACTAAAATTGTTTAGTGCAAAGAATTGGCAGCAACATAACTTACTTGGTATTCACGTGGAATGAAACTATTTTGAATATATTCCTGTAAAGCAAGTTCCTTTGTCAGCATGCGAACAGAATCCAGCAAGCCTTCCATTTCTCTCTGATGTTCTTGACCTAAGTCAGCCAGCTCAGATTTTGCTGACAGAAGCATTGATGTGACTTTCCTCAGCTTTTTGCCTTTGCCAGCACATTCATCCTGCAAACTTGAGTACCTTTCCTCAATGTCAATTCTTTCAGCCTAAAATAGAAATTTATAAACAAAATGTTTAGTAATTGCAGAGGCACAGGGTATTTAAAAAAATATTCAATCCATACTTCTTTGCGTTGCAGTTCTTGTTGCAGTTGTTGTTCTTGAGACATCGTTTGCTCTAGTTCCTGGGCAGATTGCAAAAGAAGCTGACCTTGTAAATCAGCTTTTTCGAGAAGGTTCTCTCCTCCAACAAGAATTTTCCTTTCAAGACTTTGCAATTTTTCTCTCAAAGCCTCTTGTTCACTCCTTTAAAATTGGTAAATAGCATTAAAATACCTATTTTCACAGACATCAATACAAAATGGAAAATGATCCTCTATTATACCCTACTTGATAGCCCTTACCTAGCCTTGCACAATTCTGCTTCTTCTTGCTCAGCTATTCGCTTCAATTCTTTCTCCATCTCATTTTCTTGAGGTTCCTCCTCATTCCAGTCCTCTAGGTTTCTTCCATCTTGAGCAGCAGCCTGAATTCAGAATTATTTCAGGCTGTAAAACGATTAAAAATATAATGTGTGATTTGTCATCAAAACAAAAGTTAGCTTACCTCAGCATCAGCCAACTGATCCATAAGGAGTACAGTAGGTCCTGAGCCTGAACTGCGTTTTTTGCGTTCTTTTTTCTCTGTTTTTCCGCCTTCTTCCTCTCCATTGGAAGATTCTGCCTCCGATTCTGAACCCTCAGACACTTGTGAGGAAAAGGTAGAAAATGTTTCAATTAGGCACAAACAAATGATTTTAACCAATAAAATGCTGGATCCACAAATTATCTTGTAATTTCCTAGATTTTCTCTATTTTCCTTTACTTTCTTACCAATTCCAGCTTCTCGGTCTTCAAGCTGACGCCGGAGAGTTTCAATTTCAGTTTGAAATTTACGAAGTAAAGCATCTTTGGGATCCTCATTGACACGAACACGGTTCTTAATGTTTTTAGCACGATTGGCATAGCGGAGTGTACTAATTGTTTCGTCATAGTTGTAGTCGGCAGGTCCAATGTTTGCACACTACAAGTGAATACAGAATCAATTCTAGGCAATATTAACTTTCCCTATTGGTGGAAATTTTATTGAATTTTTCTATACATACCATCACAGTTTTAGAATTTCCTCCAAGGGAGTCTTGAAGTAGTCTTGTTAGTTTAGAATTCCTGTAAGGTATGTGTGTACTTTTGCCATCGACTAATGCTGAAATAACGTTTCCCAGGGTAGACAAGGATAGATTTATCTTTGTAGCCTCCTTGAACCTCTGCCCTGTTGCTCCAGTTTTACTCTGTCGTTCTGATCCCTAAATAATTAATTAGATTAATATGAAAATGGATTGGGTTTTTGTCTAATGATCATAATAAATGGTTCTTACTGCTAAATCAACAAGGTGAAGGCGTCCAACTCTGACGTGTTGTTCTGCTTCCCCAGCAGTTGTTGATTCAATAGTGGTAGAGTATATAGCATGGGAACGAGAGCTCTCAACATTCATAGCTGTAGCCCCAACAACTCCTGAAGGCAACAAATGTGAAGAAAATTAAGTATTACTTTCACTTAAAATAAATTTATGTTTGTATTTAATATTGGTATTCATATCGTACGATTTTTGTTGCCAAGGGTCATAATACGTAACATATCTTCATGATTGTTGACAATGTACGAGGATAAATCCTTCACATAAACTCCAATATCTGGTCTTTCTTTGACTTCTAGACGAGCACGTTGGTCCTTCCCTAGAAGATCACGAACTTCTTCATTGTAAATCTCATAGTAAGATACTCGTACAAGGAACCTAAAGAAGACAAAAATATGTTGCAAAATTAAATAAATTTGTTTGTTAAAAAAAGACAGACTGTCTTTCAACTGAGATGCTGTTTTTCTTACTTGGTATCCTCTTTAGCTTGAGCTATATGGCTAAATATGTGTATGAATGAGTTGGGAATTATTCCCCTAAGAGCTGGGTCACTGTGCAGTCCCTCCATAGTATAAGTTTTGCCAGTGCCAGTTTGTCCATAAACCAGAATTGTACCATTGTACCCTGCAAGGGTTTTGTTCACAATTGGAGCAGCAACTCTGTTGTAAACATCAAGCTGCACAGAGAAAAAGAATAATAATTGAGGAAAACACCCCAAAGCACATTGGGCAGCTGCTACGCAAAGTTTGCCAAGTCAAACTCACATCATCAAATGTATCAATGAAAAATTTACTATTTTGAGAAACCCATGAAGGACTGATACACCTCGCATAATTTGTTGTTGTTGTTGCCATACTAGGTTAATTTTTACCAACTGTTGAGTTTATATTTTAGTTTGAGACAACTAAAAATTATTCAATTTCATGTAGCTTTACAAAAGTAAAAACAAATGTTTGGAGGAGGGTAAAGTAGTTTCATTTAAGATTAAACCACTTCAAGAGCTTGCGTTGGTTCTACAAAAAGGAAACAAAAGTGTTCTACCAATTACTGCTACTGGTTGAAAAAGTTGTTGCTTAGATACGTGAATTGTTGAGTTGACAATGCACATTATAGTTTAATGATATAAACACAAAAAATTATTCTCAAAAGCAATTACTACTGAAAATACTTCTAAAGAAAAAAAACTGAGTACTTATGATAATCGTAGGAATTAAAAATTTTATTATTATGAATACAAATTGCATTCAATTAATAGAATGAGAATTTGCTAACCTGTGTTGAATCTGTGTCAAACACAGTATCAAAGGTGAAAACCTTTGGTGGTTCTTCTGCTGGTGCTTGAGGATTGGTAACAGATATCGAATTGCATGACGAATCTACAGATGTAATTTGACGGCAGCCACTCAGAGTCTCCTGTTCAGCTAGTGGTCTCACTCGTAGTACAACACGTACATTTTCAACCTCTCCTACACCGGCTAAATCCTGAAAAATAAAAAGAATTTGTGACATTGAGAAAGAAGAACACTAAAATCTCAGATCCTGATTATTATGGGCTCTAATTACAGGGCTACCATAAAAAATAATAACTGATACAATTTTGTCAAGTGAAGTTTTTCACGAGAAATAGATGAAAGGAACTAATTTGAGAATACATCAAACGTGTTACGGTTAACAAAACAGAAAAAAACAGGATAAACAAAATAAAACATTAATTCAGTCATATCACGAAACATGTAAAGATACTAGAGTCCCTCTTTTGCAGTGTGATAACAAATATGAAATACAGTTCACCTCGACACTTACTGATTGACTAGCACTCGTCATATTTTCTGACTAAGTTCCTGATGACGAATTACATTTGATGAAGGATGAAGGGGCGTAAAGGGGCGGGGTACCGGACTACTACTGCTACTGCTAAAAGTTTGTTTTGTGTTTGTTTGTTTGTTTGTTTGATCTTCTTCTTGGCTTCTTCGTTCGTTGAGAATTGCTTAGTATGAAAAACTTTACAGTCGGTACAACCGCACATCTCTATCTAAAACATCCATGGACGTCAACAAACAAATAAGCAGACATTCCAGCGCGCTGAATTGAGTACACATTTCTTGCATTTCTGAAGAAGGTTCTTTGAGTGTTATTTGAAAATAATAATAATAAAAAAGGCTTTTATTGATTCATTGGAGTATATTTACATCACTGTGTCAATATGGTAAAGAAAAAATATGCTTTTTTTTAAAAATGTTTAGTGCATCCTTCATAACACTATTATAGAGTATCTTTAGAATATTTCAGTGTTTTGGAACAATTTTTTAATGTATGAGATGTTTAACCTTTTAAAACCAGATTCTGTCTCGATTGAAACCTGCTGTTGGCTCCAAGTCTAATAATACTACATCAACTGCAAACAATCAGAAGAATCTTCCAAAGCTGGAAGACTTTTTAATTGCTAGAGATTACACAGGGGCTCTCACGTTGTTAGAGGTTTGTGATCTGCTGTGAGATTTATTGAGTTGAATCTGACATACATTTACCTTGCCTACTCTAGTTCCCTTCTTAAAATCAATAATAATTGGTTGTTTTAGTTCAGTCAAGGCTCTGGGAAGAGCGATGCAGACAGTGAAAGGTGGATTGGATATTGTTCATTTCACCTTGGAGATTACAAACGTTCAATGTCAATCTTTGAAAAGCTGTCTAATAAGAGTGACACTCCTGATGATGTATGGGTGAACTTAGCTTGTTGTCAATTCTACCTTGGCTTGTATCCAGAGGGAGTAGAGGTAACTTTAGTAGAAGACATATCTCTAATGATTCAAATGTCAGTGCTTTTACATTTATTAGAGTCTTGTTTTTGATGTTCTAATAGATTCTCAAAAATGCCAAGGATTGTGCTTTGAAGACTCGCCTTCTATTTCATTTGTCTCACAAAACGGGTGCCGAGGAAAAGCTTTTGGAGTACCATCATCAGTTGAGAGACGTAACTGAGGATCAACTTAGTCTTGCTGCAATCCATTATTTACGTGCACATTATCAAGAAGCTATTGACATATATAAAAGAATTTTACTTGATAACAGGTAAATTGCCATCACTTTATTTTTTGCTGTTAAAATTGTAGGGGAAGAAAGATTTAATCTAACTCTCGCTTCATAGGGATTTCTTGGCACTGAATGTGTATGTTGCTCTTTGCTACTACAAATTAGATTATTATGATGCTTCACAAGAAGTATTGTCAGTGTACTTGCAACATTATCCTGATTCAGCAATTGCTATAAACTTGAAAGCTTGTAACCATTTTCGCCTGTATAATGGGAAAGCTGCTGAAAATGAGATTAAGTCTCTTATGGTATGTCTAGGCTGTCAAAAGTGTTACAACTACAAGACTTCAAATAGACATTGAAGGTCTATTCAATGTTGTTGAACTATACTTCTTGCTCCAATTTTATACTTAAGCCTCTTTTTCTTTTCTTCTTAGGACCAAAGTTCATCCTCTTTCATATTTGGCAATGATCTAATTCGTCATAATATGGTGGTATTTAGGAGTGGTGAAAGTGCTTTGCAAGTATTACCTCCTCTTGTGGATGTAATACCAGAAGCAAGGCTTAATCTAGTTATCTATTATTTAAAACAGGTGGAGTGGAATGTTCCTTTTTTTGACATTACCTATTAACTGTGGATTTTACTCAAGGAAGGTGAAATTTTTGTTTTGACCGTAGGATGAGGTCCGTGAAGCTTATCAGCTTATTAAAGACCTTGAGCCTGCTGTCCCCGCAGAATATAATTTGAAAGGTGTTGTTAATGCCTCTATGGGCCAAGAAACGGGATCTGTAAGTACTAACTTGTTGGTAAAAATGGTTTTTAGAATTTTTTGCTTTTATGTTTCTCATGTACACTTTTTTAATCAATTTTCTCTTTGTAATATCTAGCGGGAACATATAAAGTTTGCTCAGCAGTATTTTGAACTTGTTGGCTCAAGTGAAAGTGAATGTGACACAATACCTGGGCGGCAGTGTATGGCAAGCTGTTACTTTCTCATGCGTCAGTTCAGTGAAGTGCTTCTTTACCTCACATCTATAAAAAGCTATTTTTATACAGATGATACATTTAATTTCAACTATGCACAGGTAAGAATTCGATCCTTTGACTTAAATTACTTGCTCACTATTATAATAAATATTGGACAATAAACTAGAAATGGCTGTTTGTGTTTTGTTTTTTTTTTAAATTGTACAGGCAAAGTGTGCTGTGGGTAACTTTAAAGAAGCAGAGGAAGCATTTCTGCTAATTCAAAATGAGAAGATCCGCAGTGATTATACCTACATTAGTCACCTTGCTCGATGCTGTAAGATGTCATAAAATCTATTTAGTTCTTATAACAAAATCAGTTCTCTCTTACACTGTATCATCGATTACTTTTTTCCAGATATGATGAATGGAAAGCCTCAAATGGCTTGGGAACTTTATCTCAGATTAGAGACCTCAGCAGAGTCATTCAATCTTTTACAGCTGATTGCCAATGACTGCTACCGCCTAGGCCACTTTTGGTTCTCAGCCAAAGCTTTTGATATGCTTGAAAGACTTGATCCCAGCCCTGAACACTGGGAAGGCAAAAGAGGAGCTTGTGTGGGAGCTTTTCAAATGGTTATTGCTGGGAGACAACCAAAGTAGGTGATATTCTATTACTTTTTCACAATCTTTCAGTAGCCTTTCTTCAAATTAACACTGTTTTATGATCTTTTGCAATTGAAATGTATTGCAGGGAATTGCTGACCGACGTTATTAGTCTTCTCAGAAACACAGCTAACTCTCAGGTTGAAATGATCATTCGAACTATGAAACGATGGGCAAAAGAAAACAGAATCAATGTGTAGTTTGGTAAATCAACAACTTTCAGCTTGCACAAAATTTGACAAAGCTGACTAATAGTACACATTTTTTGTAATATTTAGTAGTCTCATACAATCACTCGCTCCCATCTTCACTCATTTTTCGGGGGACTTCTGTGTTATTTGAAAATTATTCTAGTCAAATATTCTAGTCATTCATATCCACAGGTTGCTCCAGCATACCTCAAAGAATTAAAATTTGTTAACACATATTTTTCCTTTTTACTTTATCAAACAGCTCCCAAGAGCAATGATCCATAGGAGGGGCATTATACAATTTTCGGCAATAGCTGATGGGTTGTGGAGAAGATTTGGATAGAATAAATAATTTGAGAATGATACGTTGTTTTTTTGTGTTTTTTTTTAATTAGAAGGAATGTTATGAGTATTTTAAGTTACTGTATTTGAATTAAAAATAGGTCATAGAAATTAAACAGTAGAAGTTATATTAAGGGATGTTCAGTTGATTCCCAGATTTCTTGTTGTTAGAAATATCTATTCCCATCGACCATATCAGTGGTTGATCTGTCTTTATTTTAATGACTGGATCATTACTATAAGTATTTGAAGAACTGATGAGACCTCCGAATTTCATTTCTGTGTTATCTGGAAACAGTCATAGATTAACATTTTGCATGAGGCACCCAGTAAACACGAAACCGTCACAAAAAGGTCAATAGCATAAATGTGACGTCAAAGTAATTTTCAATAAATATTGACTATTTAATGACTAATTTAGCCATATTGAAATCAATATGACATCCTCATGACTTTTTCGTATTCATTGGGCATATGCTTATGGTTGGATAACTTTTAATCTGATGTGTACCAAGATTCCACTTGAGCCCGGAGGTTGTCACTCTTGATGGAGCTCCAACAGGTATTAGCCCAATCCATCTGTCATGTGACAAAATATCTCTGCTCTTTAGGCCTGATACATAGATTTCATGACTACCAGGCCTTAAAAGCCATGTAGCACTGCATGATGATAGCAAAACAATACGTTCTTCATGGGTATGGAGTGTGTTCAGCTGTGATAATATTTGGTCAAGGCGACCACTCACCTCACAAATTGCTATTATAAGATTTGCCTGAAAATATTTCAGAAAACACTTCAAGTAGGAAAGCAATATCAATCCTCATTATCATCATAAACTTACTGCTTGTTTTTCTTTTGCACATTTAACAGCCTTGGAAAAATCAGTCAAATCTTGATCTGGGGTTGATTCAAAACAAACAGATTTTTCTTTAAGTGTTATCATGGTATCGGGTCTTATGGAGTCAAAATCACCAGTTATCAAGTCTGGAAGACCCAAATTGCTAACACCACATGCTCCGGAGGCCTCCAGCCAATCTAACCACCGGTCTGTCCCCCCATCAACTGTAATGCGATACACAGCTGGAAAGATTACACACTATTAATAACTGGTTGGAATTGCCCAAAATTTGTTACGGGAAAGGTAAGGGAATAACCATTATTCCAAAGATGCACCATTACTTCTTTCTTGATTGAAATGGGTTGATTAAGAATTACCAAAGTAAATGGTTCTCTGTACTCTGTCCCAAGAAAAGACAGTGGTTCCCAAAGTGTAGAGCAATCCATATCCTGCAATCCAGAAATACATAGATTCTTAAAGCAGACCTTGAACTCAGCATACTCAGAGAAAATTTCACAACATTTCAAGCATTTGTGATAGATCTCTGAAAGGAAACCAAAATAGCATGGGGGAATTACCAAAAATATTCCTGAAATGATATCAACAGTGAGAGACTCTCTTGGTAATCTCAGTCAAACTTAACATAAAAGAATCTATATTGCGTTATCTTTGACAGTACAGTCACATGTCACTTCACAAGGTCTTATCCTGCGGTTCCTGTTGCTCTCTCTAGTTTTTTAAATTCCACTGTTGCCAGCTGTGTAGCGGGCTTTTTGTCTTGTTTTTGCGAGCAAACCATTTACCGAAAGGTACTTTGAAATACCGGACGCATGGAGAGATTTTCCCAGTGCGAAAAAATATCGGATGAAAGAAGGCACTTGTCAAAGCAGCAACCAGCTTTTGTTACTCTACATCTATTTCTTAAAGGAGAATTTAGGAAAGTCATATTGATCTGGCGCCACCCGGCCAACCGGCAGGGAAGTTGGGTGAGAAGGGGGGAGGGAAGGGGGAGGATGGCTTGGAAGCGTGAGTTGGATGGGAAACACCGAAGCGAGACCCCGTCCGTGTGTGAGAGAGAACGTGCTCTCTTCATTTGGTGTGCAGGTGATAGAAAGAGAAAGGACATCCGTCCGGGATAGGGTGGGGGGAAATTTGGAGGAAGGGTCCCAATCTCGCCATATTGGTGGTAACTGTGTAAAGCCCGTATCACACTGGCGCTGGCGGCGGCGCTGGCGCTGGCGTTGACGCTGGCGGCGGCCGCTGCGCCAATCACACTTGCTCGCTGCCGCTGCGGTTGGCGTTGGCGTGCACAGCCTTGCAGTGCTCACTTAAACGTGTTGACACGTTTTTTTTCGTTAGGAAAGGCGCCGATTGCTGTCTGCTATTTGTAAACACGTATGGTGGTAAACACAAAATAGTTGTCGAGTGAAGGATAAATTTCGACGAAATGGATAGAGTAAATCGCTACTATAATGATTATATAAACTACTTAAATAGAAGGAGAAGGGCTACTGCTATATTTGGCCTGATACTAATAGAGGAGTTGAGGAAGCGTTATCCAGAGAGAAGTGTGTGGATTCATCACTATATTGCTCGAAGAGATAGACTCGGTTGTCACAACACTCTTTTTCTAGAGCTGAGTACAGAAAATCCTGAGAAATACAGAAAGTGAGTAGACTGTGATTTGGAGTTAAGCCACATTGAATTTAAGTGGAAGAAGCCTTATTGTAGCTTTCTCAGGACTGCACAGAATATTGATTAACACACATGTGTATGCTTTTATAGGTGTTTACGAATGAGTCCAGAAATGTTCCAGTGGCTTGCTGACAAGATAAGGCCTCTTGTGGAAAAGCAGGACACACATCTGAGGCGTAGTATATCTGTGGAGCAGCGTCTCTCAATCACACTCCGACATTTAGCCACAGGTGATAATGACTATGGTGAAACTGAGGCATATCGTTTTGTATTCTTTTCCTGTACTACAATATTAATTTTGTAAAATGAAATGTTGCAGGAGAAACTCAGGAATCACTGCATTTCCAATTCAGAGTGGGTCAGAGTACCATATCCGGTATTATTAAAGAAGTTTGCGAGGCTCTGTACACGGTGCTGAAAGGTACATATCTGAGGTTTCCTGAATCCCATGAAGAATGGCAAAATATTGCCTTTGAATGTGGCAGCCGGTGGAACTTTTACAATTGCATAGGGGCAATGGATGGGAAGCACATCCTGATTGAGCCTCCTATCAAATCAGGGTCAACCTATTATAACTACAAATGTCAGTTCAGTATAGTTTTGCTGGCAATTGTGGATGCTGGGCTGAGATTTATCTATGTAGATGTTGGAACCAATGGCCGCATTGGAGATAAAGGAGTGTGGAATAAATGTTCCATGAAAACATATCTGGAGGAAAATTCTGGAAACATTCCTCCACCATGTCCGTTGCCTGGCTCAGAGAAAAACTTTCCCTTTGTAATTGTGGGGGATGAAGGTTTTGCTCTCTCAAGTAGAGTCATGATACCCTTTTCGAAAGAGCACTTGAGAGGAGAACGCACAAAAGCCAGAAGAATATTCAACTACAGGTAAAAATTCATGTCAATTTTAGAACTAAAACCAATGACTGTTGATTTTATGAAATGCTTTAACGCCACTGTCCCACTTTTTCAGACTGTCAAGGGTCCGTCGTTGTTCTGAAAATGCCTTTGGGCTCATTGTTAATCGCTTCCAAATTTTAAGAAGTGCCATGCGCTATGATCCTGATGCAGCACGTTCAGTAACGCTTGCAATATTATGTTTGCACAACTTGCTACGAACTGATGCTTTGGGAAGGAAGCTCTATTCACCCCCCGAAATGCTTGATAGGGAGGATGAGTTAACAGGTATTATTCACAGAGGAGGATGGCGTGAAGAAATGGGGAATGGCCTGCAGAACTTAGGTCATCAGGGTGGAAACCGCCATGCTGCAGAACCACTTCAATTGAGAGAAGATTGGGCGGATTATTTCAATGGTCCTGGGGCTGTGCCTTGGCAGGATCGAATGATAGCTATTCCAATATGAAAAGTACTAAAATTTAATAAGTGATGTAAAACAATTCTTAATATAACATAATGAATACAGCACAAAATCTTTAGTTTCATCTAAACCTTACATTAAAAAGTAAACAATAAGTCATTGGCACATTGAACTTTGGAAAATATGATTAAGTATCAATACTGAAGTCCAACTTAATGTACTCAATAATACAATATAACTAGAAATACACATTTGTACTTCAGATGAAGATAGATTATTAAAAATAAAGTACACTAGGCGATGCACTATAACAAAACAGAAAAACAAATGAGAACATAATATATCACAGGATAATGGCACACATAATACTTCAAAAACCCTGTAGCACCAATGACATATTATGTTCTCATCTGT